CAATTTAAAACGTGTTAACTTAACTGTATATTGTATGAAAGCTTTACTTCTTGATTTGAACATTGGAATTTTGTTCATCGTTCTCCTTCTAAATTGGAGGTTGTGACTTTTTTTGTCGTTGAAACTTGAAAGGTGTAAAATAAATCACTAGAGGTTGTAACATAATTAGTTCTAAAGTGAAATTCAGGTAGTAAAGTTGAAATATTGAATAAACGAAGTTAAAAGTTTTTCTTTTTTGAGAGAAGAGAAGTTCGAGTTGAATGCTGATCAACGAACCCTTGATGTACGTGATCAGGGACATGGATTGTGATAGTCTACATCGCGTAGACCGCGTCGATACCGAAGAAAAGAAAAGCAACGAGTGAAGCAGTCAGTAGGCCCGGTCTTCAGATCTTCTGTCGATCTATTATCTATTATATATCTATACGTGTTTCACTATGATGACCAAGTAGTAGCTGCATGCTGCGTAGCTTGCTTGTGTTCCCACGTAACATTCAAAGTCCAAAATTCAGATAGGTACTCTATTATATGTACCCTATATATGCTACGGCATACGATCAATGCAAATATTCACAATCCACAAGAACTAACCTGTGTCAAGAGAAATGTTGTATAAGACAAAAAGAATTTGTATTAATAAATCCTCCAAAATGAATCAGCAATACACAAAGCCCGAATACGTCCAACATACACATAACTACTTGACCATACACACAGATAGTTGCTAGTAATAATTACTTGAATCTACATAAAATACACATGTGCCTGCGTCTACAGAGATGCACTCAAACCACGAGGCCGACAACGGCCAGCAAAACGGCGAGGCCGAAACCCGCGGCCTCCACATTGGTGGCAGCAGAGACAGGTGTCCGCGGGGGAGCGTTACTTGCACTTGGGCCGCTGGCCGGGGCGGGTGACGTAGAGGAGGAGCCTGGCATGACATCAATCTTAACCTTCATGCCGCCAGCGCAATGACCAGGGAAACCGCAGATGAAGTAGCGGGTGCCGGTGGCGGTGAGAGTGACAACATCATTCCCGGAGTTGAAGGTGGTGACAGGGCTGGCGGTGCTACAGGAGTTCATAGTCTGCCTTGCTGACCTCGAGGACGTCGTGTGCCTGAGGGGAGTACTTGAAGACGATCTGGTCATTGGTTTGGAAGTTCTTGGAGGACGCCCATGTGCCGTAGTTGGTGCTGAGGTCCCATGTGCCGCCCGGCTGCCCCACGTTGTAGATTGCCGCAGACGCCGTGCTCAGGACGGTCATCGCGGCAACTGCAAGAAAAATGGTTCTCGTGGCAGCCATTGAGGTTTGAACTGCAAGGAGAGCTAGCAGAGGAGATTATAATGCAGGTGCTGTTGTATTGGTCCTTGAGCGGAGATTGTGTTTGCTTCCCATGGTGGTTGTGTCGGGTCCTATATATATACAGTACAGGCTATGCCCTGGTGGGTTGAAGAAACGTGTACGGTAGGTGGAAGCCTGGACTATTATCGTACGTGCCTGGATTTTGGACTTTGAATGTTGTGTAGGTGGGAACACAAGCAAGCTGGTACATACTTGGTCATACTCAAACACGTAGGAGTCTATGATAATCATCGATCGACTGAACATCTGAAGACCGGGCTGTGTTGTTGGCCTGCTGACCTTTTTCACGTGTTTCCTTTCCTTTTCCTCCAGTATTGACGTGGTCTACAAGACATGACGTAGACTGCCACAATCACATACCTTCTGACGTAGATCCAACTGCCCAGTTGCATTTCAACTCTCTCTAAAAAAGCCTCTAACTTCCTCTGTTAAAATTGTCAGCTTTCGACTACCTGAATTCCAGCTGGATCACAAATTCACAACTAATTAAAATTGCAGCTTTTAAATTTCAAGAATCAAAAGTAACAACTCTCCTAAAAGCAAAATATATTTATGGCAAAAAAGTACTCCTATGACATTAAGCTCAAGAAGTAATGCTTTAGTACCACAGAGTTATAAAATTTGAAATTGGGAAATTGGCATTCAGCCCACGAACATTCAGCGGAACAAATGACTGACTTTGCATCATCCTAGATTGTAAAAACAAGGTTTAGATAATGACTGATAATATATATTTAAATTGAATTAAAGTTTTACTGGAATAAAAGGCTAGATAGTGCCGGTGACAGGGACTAGTTTTGATGAAAACGATAAACAAGTCTTGAAGAATAGATACATAATCATTATTGTTGGATAGATGTCTCTAATCCATTTGAAACTATTTGTGGTGCATGCGCTAAAAGTATTAATGTGAGGCGAGCCTTGAAACACCATCTTTTTCAACTAGCCCTTGATGCACAATGTAATTTGCTACTAGGCGATTTGAGACTATAACATAGAGACAACACACATGCATGTCTATGCTCAGTGCCTCTCGGGGTCGAGCGATGGTCGTGCTTCCGTGTCGTAATCCCTCTTGAGGACATCGTGTTTGGACCTTGCAACGATTGGAGGGACCAGAGGCAACGGTGCTAGGTCGCGGCCGCCTCGTCTTGTTCGTGCCATCGGGCCTTTGGAGCGGGGTCTGGAGCGACTTGCGGCGGTGAGGTGGTGGCTGTCAGTGGTTGTTGTCGTGTGGCAATACGGTAGCCTCCAGCCGGTCCGGCGACGGCGTTTTGGCCATGTTCTTGCTCGCTGCAGTGTCGTCCGATGGGGTGCGATGGGGCGGCTACCCGCCTTTTTCGGTGGTGGCGGCCCCCGTGGTCATGTGTATGGCGTGGAGGCTGGGTCTTGTGGTGCTGACGGCTTCTATGAGGATGGCGGAGGTATGGGACGCCCCCTCCACCAACAAATCGGGTTTGATGCAGCTCGGCGGGTGACACATGTATCTCTTCTGGAAGCGTCATGGCATGCCTGCCACCAGCAGGTGCTATGCATGATATCTCATGAGCAGACGTCAAGTCATGCTTGCCGTCGGCAGATGCTATATGGTGGGTTTGACAGAGTTGTCATGCTTAGCCTGTTCCTATTGTATCGAAGGTGGTGCGACGGAGACCGGAGGCGAGGCAACATGGGACGTCTTTGTCTTCCGGTTTCACCTACTGCAATATCTGGCTAGCGAGGTGTCGGTAGCGGACAAGTGTTGGTGGTAGAAGCAACTTTAGCGATGAGCATGCACACTCCGATGGAAACACTAGAACTCTGATCACGCTATATCGACGCGCGTTGTGTGGTACCATTGCTGAAGGTGGCGGATCGAAACTTGGCTTTGGAAATGAAATCCGAAGATCGACCTTGGGTTGGACTTGTCATTATCGGCGCACGTGTGAAGATTTCTTTCTTTTTATTTTATAATAGGGTTAGTGCATGTCTGGTGCAGTTACTATTGCGAGGCATGTGGCCTCGGATATTTTTAGTTTTCATGTCAGTGTTGTTCTGCTGCTGAATTTTTTAATAATAAGTAATATATGGATGCGTGCATCACTTGATGCAGAGGCCCGAGTTTATCCTCCTTTTTAGAAAATGTGTTGCCACTGTCAGGTTCAAAAATAAAAGGCCAAAGCTAGAGTTTTTACCTTACGGCACCATAACTAATAACTGAGGTACATATGTCCTGGCTTTGACAAATGCAGCACCAAAGAGAAGCATGGCTACAGTGTCGATCTGGAAAAAAAATTATATGAGACCAGGTCTCACGGTTAGCAGGTGAGACCCGTCCTGATGGA